GGCAGTCCATCAGCCCGAATACAAGATACACGCAGTCCACCAGCGCACCTCACAGTCAATCACCGAAAAACAAGTCTCAAATGTCAACAATTAAGTGAATGAAAGAGTAAAGAATAAAACAAAAACCACAAAAGCAAAAACCACTGCATCATAATTTCTTCCCTTGCCTACTGCTTTTCAAGGCCAGCTCGAAACCTGAAGTTCTCCTGCAAACTACAAATTTTCTTGTAGTGGACCCTGGACGGACTGAATGCTCACCTCAGCCTGGAATAGGACCTCACAAGTGGCGCCCGAGCAGGGACTTTTTGGTGACTTTAAGGAGACAAACACCTTAATACGGAGCTTTGTGGAGTAAAGACCCACGGCCACTGAAAGAGACTAGGCTAGCAAGGATCAATAACCGTCCAGCCCAAAACGCAAAATCCGGTCGCAAGCAGAAATACCACCAACAACACGTAAGTCAGTGCTACTAACCACAGAAACACACCATGGAAGCCCACGGAGCCGGTCAACCCGACGAATTTCACCCGGAGGGACTCCATACCAATCCAGGAGTCACAACCGGCTGGATCTACAAACTCCGGCGGGACGAGCTGGAAACCCTGGCCGAGGAATTCGGATTCGGAATCGACGGAACAGTCGAGGAACGACGAAAGAGATTCGCCACACTAGTCGCCGGAACACTCTCGCAGGACGCCTGGGTTCGATTGGCCGACCTCGAACGGCAATACGCCAGACCAGCAGGACGCTCCAAGTCGCCCCTGCCCGCCACTCCTGGGCCGTCTGACCAGCGGAAAACCAACCCGAAAGCCGGGTTACAAGTCCCCACAGCAGCAAATACAGCACACCTGCCCACCACGCATCGTAACGCCAGCCGATCTGCCCAGACCTCCCGTTACGGAGACCAGCCGCTCGCCCACCCAGAGGATCGTGCCTGCCATGGACTCTTCCACCGCCCACATCGCGGAACAGATTCGGAAATGGGGGATCAGGTTCGACGGACAGGACGACCCACTCGCGTTTCTGGAACTACTAGAGGAACGTGCCCTCTCATATGGGGTGGACACAAATCAGCTACCTCGAGCCATGACCGAACTTCTCACCGATCGGGCCAGTCGCTGGTACCGCACCAGCCAACTACAAGGCAGCTCCTGGGCATATTTCCGCCAAGAATTCTTGACTTTCTTCTTGCCGCCACGGTATTTTGAACAATTGGAAGACCAGATCCGAGCCCGCAAGCAAGCGGTAGGAGAATTGTTCAAGGATTACCTCATCGAGATACGTCTACTCATGCACCACGCCAGGTACGACGCAGCCAAGGAACTGAACAGGATCTACGATAACGCCCTGCCAGCATACCAGATGTACGTGCGGCGACACGAACTACAAAGCTTAGCACAGCTCACAATGTTGGCCACCGAGTTCGAGAGCATCCAAGAGCGGACCATCCCGACCAGTTTCGCACCCCCGCGTAACACTCCAAGATACGCAAGGCCGGCTTCAGAGCCGAGGAATTGCGACTCGCACCAGACGCCATTTCTGAGTCCCCATTGGGAATCGACAGACACACCAGCTCATCCATACAGTACGGCGAATCCCGAAGCAGCCCATCACATGATCACTACCCCCATCATCAACCCACGCGCAGCCTGTCGGCGGTATGGTGAAGCGGGGCATGCGGCATACGACTGCCATAATCCCTCCATCCTATTCTGCTGGGAATGTGGCAAACGCAGCACACGGACCGTAAATTGCTGCCGTCAAAACACGTCGGGAAACGACATGCGTCCCCCAACTGACACGGGATCAGCCGGGAACGACGCCTCCTCCAACCCGCGACTAAATAACTCTCTACACGTAAGCAACGGCTGGATAGTGGCGATGGTGACCATAGGAGGACACGCAACGGAAGCCACAATCGACACCGGGGCATCCAGAAGCTTCATCAGCGCAAACCTCGCCCGACAACTAGACAACAACACCAACCTGCAAGATGCATGCGTTCGCATACGCCTGGCCGATGGCTCGGTCAGAGAGATCTCACAAGTTCTACTGGCGCACATCAAGCTGGATCAACGAGAGGTTCAAATCCCGCTCCTGGTCCTGCCAAACATGTTGGGACAAGTCATTATCGGCATGGACTTCCTAGGTGCCACCGAAACAACGATCCAATGCGGCTCCACGCTACTACAGCTACAGACTGTCACCCCATGCCCACTGAACCCGTGCTTACTACCATCCACGTACAAGACGTCGAACCCCAATACCAGAAACCCCAACAAATCGCAACGAACCTACGTCCACGACCTACCACAACGCACACGGCACCCAATAACGCAACGCAGCACTTAACACCCAAACCAATCGCAACGAATACGAAACGCCGGCCCACAACGGAGAACACAAATCCGAGGCCAACACAAGCCAACCACAACCAACAATCGGGAAAACGAGTCCCACGGTCACTACGGAGCAACCGCGTCCTAGGCCAACCACAGGGGACACACACCCCAAACAAACCACGAGGATCTCACACACGAGACAAACACACTTGAACCCGGCGCTCGACACAAGAAGCCCAGGTCCAAGACAAGCAACAGAGCAAGCACGCAGAGACACCGCATCGGAAGCAGGGAACTCACGGACACCCTCAAAACCGACCGCCAGCAGCGAAAAAGGACAACGGCCACCACCATTCGACAGCCCAGCCACACGGGAAACAGCCACGCTAACCCCACGCTGGACGGGGCCCATAATCGAACTGATCTCCACAGAGCCCCTCAACGAGGGCCCGGAAACCAGCATGATGCCCCCACGATGCCCAGACAGCCGTCCGGTCCGACCCACGGCCGACGCCACACCGATCCTCGCCAACACAATGGAGTACCTTCCGCGTACTGACATGATTCCTAGCGCCATGCAGCGAGCCATGCCTAGAGCCTTGTCCGAGATCTTCGTCGCCCACACGAGTCGTTGCTGCGATACCAGAGGGGTCATCGCGACGCACCTGTTCACGTACCAGTCTGGCTGTAGTATAACACGAGTACTACACCCGGCGTACCAAAACATCATACCCATCGTCGCCCACATAAGCGACTACCAACGGAGGATCGAAACGCCCAGCGCCTTCGACACAACCCTCTTACCCGAAGACCCCAGCCAGCCATTTGACTCCGAAGCCGCCGATCCAACCGGACATGAGCCCGAACCAGTCCCGGAGCCGTGGCCGCCGGACTTGGCCCCGCAGATCCAAGCATTTACATTCGACAGACCCATCCTACCGAAAGACCCGAATCAAACGTTTGACCCCGGAGCCATCGAACCCACCGAAGACGACCCAGAACTACCGACGGATCCTTGGCCACCCGACATAGCACCGCCGATTCAATGCCTGGACAAAGAACGACCGAAGATAACCGCCGAGAAAACCATCGTCATATGGGATAATCGACCCACCAAGCAGACACCAACTACAAAGCACCCAGAACAGCAGAAAGGCCACGATCACAGCAGCAGTAGAAAATATAACGTTACCGACGCCACGCTAAAGTGACTAAAGTGGGGGGGGGGGGTGTAACGAACCATGGTTCTAGCCATGGCTCGTTACAAACGGCGAAGGGTCGGCGCATCCACGCTGGCGGGAGACAGTAATCTAACTGATATACACCGAGCTAGCGAACCATGGCTCTAGCCACGGTTCTTCACAAATAGCGGTGTGTCAGCACCCCGGAAATAAAAAGTTACTCGATCAACCACACCCCACCTCTTGAGACAATTGTGAAATCAGCAGCCTACAATGTCGCAATAAGCCAAGCCGACACAATTTCGCAATAAGAGATATCATTGGCGTTATTTCACAATAAGTCAAGCTAGCATAAAATTATCGACCTACCGACCCAAAATCAGATATCACCTTTCTCAACTGCAGCCCGCACCTACTGCGATGCAGCCTCAGCTAAAAACACTCTCATCAAAACACACTGACCCACTAAGCAATTGTCAACGAAGCACCCAGCTTCGACCCACTTTACCTCACCCTACAATTATTATTATCCAATAACCTTAAGTCAGCAAGAATTAATTATTTCCGGGTCTCAGGTGCGATCGCCAGCTGCATAAAAGGGCCAAGATCGGCCGAAAGAGTAGGCAGTCCATCAGCCCGAACACAAGACACTGCACCAGGCAGTCCATCAGCCCGAATACAAGATACACGCAGTCCACCAGCGCACCTCACAGTCAATCACCGAAAAACAAGTCTCAAATGTCAACAATTAAGTGAATGAAAGAGTAAAGAATAAAACAAAAACCACAAAAGCAAAAACCACTGCATCATAATTTCTTCCCTTGCCTACTGCTTTTCAAGGCCAGCTCGAAACCTGAAGTTCTCCTGCAAACTACAAATTTTCTTGTAGTGGACCCTGGACGGACTGAATGCTCACCTCAGCCTGGAATAGGACCTCACAACGGTGATCAATGCATTCCAAAGAAATGGACGGTATATAGCAGGGATAGTGGGGTTATAGAGGAATCGTACGCTCTAAGAACCACAGCAATCAATGCTTACCAAAAGCCTTGGGGAGCGAATCAACCCTTGGCAGTCCAAGAATGGAATGGTCCTGATGGCTCTGTTGCGGCTGCTTTTATTGCCAAAAGTCAGCTGTTGGCTCCGGTCTCCGGTACTAACGCGTTGTTATGATCAGCTGCTAGTGTGGCCGTTTGGTTCGGAGGGCTGGGCACACTGTTGGCGCGTAGATTTGAATTTTGTAGTGTGGCCGTGTGGTTCTGATCGCTGGTCACATTGTCGGCGCGAAGATTTAAATGTTGTAGTGTGGCCGTGTGGTTCTGATCGCTGGTCACATTTAAAAGTCAAGTTGTTTGTTGTTTTTGCTTGTTTTCTTTTTTAATTAAATTAATCTTCATGTTGTTTCTCTTAAGTCTAAGTAACGGTTATAATGAATAATAATGAATAATGAAATAATAATATAATAATACTCCGCGGAATGTTGTTGTTTTTGTGACGCTTGGCGCTGGGTCGAGCTGGGCGTCACACTCCCCCCTCCACTTCTAGGGTGGGTCGTCCGGATGTCCCCGCTGCGTTGAACCAGATGCCTAGTCGCACGTCTCCCGATCTGCCGATTTTCACCCAGCATGCCCGGTCTGGTATTTCCTCACTCCACAGCTTGAATCGTCTTTGGTGGTGGCTTTTCCGGTCATCGATCGCCCGCTGGACGGTCGCCACTTGATTTTTGCTGAGTTCGCACCCTTGGGGGACCTCCCAGTTGCTGGGTATGGCGGCCTTTATGCATGTTTTGTAGGTCCGTGTTGTCTCCTGACCGGATGTCTGTGCCTCTGCTTTTCGTGGTGGTCGACCCTGAGATGCCGTGTTTGGTGTCGGATCTGGCCTCCGTACTTCTGCGTTTTGACTCTTGGCTGGTCCTCCGATGTCCAATATATCGTTGTCTATTTCTTCCAGCTCGACTTGTCGTGCCCAGCTGATCCGCTCAGTGGCCCTTGGTTGAGCCGGCTCGGGTCTGGTGTTGTTGGCCCAGCTTATCCTCTTCTTTCTGGTCCCTTCGGTCCCTGTCCTTCCTCCTAGCTGTGGCGGCGCTGGTATGACCTCCACCTTGCGTTCCTTCGCCTTACTTTCCTCCATTTGTCGCTTGAATTTCCGTGCGCTATTATTAAATTTGTCCATGGTTCTGCAAAGAAAGAGAGGTGTCGTTATTGTGACTGTTTCTTGCTCTTCTTTGCTTGCGGGTTTTAGATGTGATATGTGCGCTCGAATTTTTTTGTTAGTAGAGGTGTCTTTGACTGTTACTATTACTGGGGACAAGAGTTCGAGGACCTTACAAGGACCGTTGTATTTTGGCTCGAGTTTTGCTGTTATTTTGTCGATTTTTTTTTGAGAGTGGGTGAGTTCTGACCCATACTATGTCCCCTATCTTTGGTTTCCAGTCTCGTCTTCTTAAGTTGTAGTGTCTCGTCTGTTTTGCTGCTGCTTCCTCCATGTTTTGTCTGGCTACTGCTTCCGCGCTTTGTCGCGCTTCTGCACTTTCTTGTGTCGTTAGTTCTGTGAGCCCTGATCCTAATGTTACTTCGTCAAACAGATTTCCTGGCAGCCGTAGCTCTCGTCCGAACAATAAATATGCTGGCGTAAATCCTGTTGATTCCGATCGACTGCTGTTGATCGCGAGTGTTAATTCTGGTAAGTGCTCGTCCCACTTATTATGTTTTCCCCCCGCGTACTGTGCTATCATGGTTTTCAATGTTCGATTCGCTCTTTCGGTCGGGTTTTCTTGGGGCGTGTATGGTGCCGTAAATTGCTGCTTAATTCCCCATAACTGCGTTACCTGTTTGGTTTTCCTGCTTGTGAATTGCACGCCGTTGTCTGATATCAGCTGTTTTGGTGTTCCTCCTCGTGCTAGTATTTTTTCTCGGAACGCTTTTATGAATGTATCGGCGGTTGCTTTCCTCGCTGGTGTCACCTCTATCCATTTCGAAAATTTATCGATGAATACGATGAGTACTGTGTTCCCGTGCGATGTTCTTGGTAGGGGTCCTACGAAATCGACGCATATCGTTTCCCACGGGGCCTCGGCGACTTTTGTTAGCATTTTTCCCGCCGCTGCTTGTTGCGAGATTTTGAATTTTTGGCAGCTTTCACATTCTCTGATGAATTTTGTTACATCTCTGCTTATCCCTGGCCAAAAATATCGCTGTTGGATCCTTATTTTTGTGCGTCGTATCCCTAGGTGGCCTGCCGTTGGGTTCGTATGGTTTTCCGTTAATACCCTATGCCTTTCTTGTTTTGGCACGCATAGCTTCCATGGTTGGATGTCTTCATCCGTTTGGCTTGGTATGTGTCGGTATAATCGTCCGTGTTTTATAGTGTAGTCTTCTGCTATTTTCGGGTTTGTTTGTATCTGTTTCCACTTTGCTTCGTACCAAGCGCATTCCACCAGCTCTGTGATTCTCACCTCTTCGCGTGGTAAGCGGGATAATCCGTCCGCCACTGCATTGAGCTTCCCCTTCCGATAGCGTATTTCGAATGTGAATGGTTGTAGTCCCAACGCCCATCTTGCTACTCGGCCGGATGGGCTTTCGATGGAATTTAACCATTTCAGGGCTAAGTGGTCCGTTATCACTACAAACTGGTATCCCTCGAGGTACATCCTCATTTTGTGAATTCCCCAGTAGATGGCAAGACATTCTTTCTCTGTAGCGGAATATTTAGTTTCTTCGCTTTTTAGCTTGCGGCTTGCGTATGAGATTACGTGTTCTCCGTCTGCATCCTCCTGTGTTAAAACCGCTCCTAGTCCGCAATCGCTTGCGTCTGTTTGTAGGATGAAGGTTTTTCTGAAATCTGGGCAGGCCAGAATGTGTGCCTCTGTTAAACAGTGTTTCAGGTCGTTGAAAGCGCTGTCTTGGGCTTCTCCCCACGTAAATTTCTGTCCTTTCTTCAGTAGTTCCTGTAGTGGCTTCGCTCTCTCGGTGAAGGTAGGTACGAACCTTCGATACCACGATGCTAGCCCCAGAAAACTGTGTAGTTGTTTTAGTGTTGTTGGTGCAACCAGTTCTTTGATGGCTGACACTTTGTCCGGATCTGTGTGTATTCTTTCCTCGCTCACCATGTGGCCCAGGTATTTCAACTTCTGTTGGAAGAAGTGACATTTCGCTGCGTTGATGCGCAAGTTTGCTCTCCTTAATCGGTTCAGCACTTCCTGAAGCTTCTGCATGTGTTCTGTTTTCGTTCGCCCAATGACGATTATATCGTCTAGGTATGCGAAAGCGAACGGTTCCATGTCTGGTCCTATAACCGAATCTAATGCCCTTTGAAATGTTGCGGGCGCTGTGGTGAGTCCGAACGGCATTACCTTCCATTGGTACAAGCCTCGCCCAGGGGCTGTGAAGGCTGTGTACTGTCGGCTTTGCCTCTCCATCGGAATCTGCCAGTAGCCTGACTTCAGGTCCAGTGTGCTGATGAATTTCGCCTCTCTTAGTTGGTTTAATATGAAGTCCATCCGTGGTACCGGGTATGCGTCCTTCTCGGTTTTTTCGTTTAGTAGTCTGTAGTCGACGCATAGTCTCCAATCCCCTGCTTTTTTCTTGACTAAGACTATTGGTGAGCTGTATGGACTTCGTGACGGTTCTATTAGGTCCTGACGTTTTAGCTCGTTTATTTCCCTGTTGATGATCTCCATTTGTGCTGGGTTCCTTGGGTAGTACCGCTGTTTGACTGGTCTATCGTCCTTGAGGAATATTCGATGCGTTGTTATGTTACTTACTCCGCCGAGGTTGTCGAATTTCTGGACCTCTGTTGATATCCATTTTTCGATTTCCTTGTCCGTTGGTTCCGGTTGTGAGTTTCTTGCCCTCTCTTCGTGTCTTTGTTTTTTCTCCCTTCCACTGATCACTACGGTACTGTTTCCGCATGTAATGATGGTTCCTGCGTCCCTTAAGAAGTCCATTCCGAGTAGTGGCGTGTCTGGTAGCCCCTCCATTATTAAAAATGATAATGTCGTTTCCTGGCCTCCTAGCTCTACTTCGGTAAGGAATGTACGCGTGGTTTTTTGTGTACTTCCATCTGCGAGTCTAATCAGTCTATTTTCTTTTTCTTCCTTCCCGTTGTTCTGTAGTATTTTAGCCGTTTTTTCGTTCAAGATGCTTCTTGTGGCTCCCGTATCTATTACTACCTCCATCCTCTTTCCGCCGATCTTGGCCATTCCCACGAGCTGGTTGTCCTCGTATCTTAAATCTGTGGTGGTCCGCTCTGCGTGTTTTGGGCTCCGGGTGCTTCGCGGGATTGTCCCGGGCCCTGTGTGTTTTCCTGTGGTTTCCTGCAGCAGTCTATCGTTCGTACTCCTTCTTTATTGCATGTCCAGCAGTATAATACTGGCTCCCTGGTGCATCCCCTCGATTCGTGTCCTATTTGTCCACATCGGTGACATTTTGTTTGTCTCCATTGTGGCCGCTGCCATGGTGTCTGGTTATTTTGTTGATTATTGGGCATGGTTTTTGATAGGCCTGCCTCTTTCTCTAGTTTCTCGAATTCTTCCGCTGTTATAATGAATTCTGATAGCGTCTGGAATTCCCTTCTCTTCACATGGAGTTTGATTGGTAACCTACAATTCTTGTATGCCATGTCCAGTTTCTCGTTCTCGGTGTACGTCCCGAATCTCATCAATTTTCTCAGGTCTTGAATAAACTCTCGTATTGTCTCCGTTTCTGATTGTTTTCGCTCCGATACTAACTTTATAAGCTCTTCATGGTATTGTGGTGACATGAAGTTCTCCTTCAGCTGGCTTTTCACCTCCTCCCATGTTGTTATGGGGCCGGGTTTCGTGTGCCACCAGTCCAATGCACTCTTCTCCAGTATTACCGGCATTGCAAATACAATGTGGTCTATCTCGATCCCGTATGTTTCTGCTAGTTCCTCCATCCTACTGAGGAATTCGAGTAGTTCTCCATTTCCAGTGAATGTGAGGTCCCACTTCTTTGTTTTATCTATTATGGCCACTGCTTCTGGTGACCCTTTCCGTATCTGCTTTGGAAATAAAGCTCTCTTTTTTGCCGTTTTCGGTTCCCCTTGCGGTTCTTCCATAGCTGGCTTGGCTTGTGTTATTCCTTTCGGTGATGGTTTTGGGCTCCTGCCTCTTGTCTGGGTTGTTCCGAGCTGTTCCAGCCTCTCCAGTATCTCCTTACATAGATCCTTTCTTTCCGTGAACTGAATTAGTTGTCTCCTTAATGTTTCCACTCCTTCAGGCTTCTCCAATCCAAATTCCTCGCAGTAGCTGATCAGTTCTGCTTTTGTCGCTTGGTTGATCCACACTTTTGCCATCTTGACCATAAATGAGATTTCAATTCTAAGCTACCACAACCTGCTCGGGCGCCACTGTGACGGCGCTTTGGCCGGGGTATGCTCGCCGCGCCGGGGTTCACAGAAATTTGTTTGATTTCTGGATGTGGTAGCTGAAAGAAAGGCTCTAGGTTCAAAAAGAATGCGACACGGGTAGGGTGGCAAAAGTAGGTTTCTATGTTTATTTAGCTTAATCGTACAGAGTTTATATATGGCTCGAATGGTTCACTGGATCGTCCTAGATGTCCTCCTTCAGGGTCGTCAAAGCCGCACGTGGCTACTCGCAGCGTGCAGGTCGTACCTGGTGGGGATCGGTCGCGGAGTATAATGCGCTCCGAGAGAGAAGTGTGTTGCGGAGGATAATGCGCTCCGAGAGAGAGATGCGTTGCGGAGGAAAATGCGCTCCGAGAGAGAAGTGTGTTGCGGAGGACAATGCGCTCCGATAGCAGTGGTCGTTGCGGAGGAAAATGCGCTCCGAGAGAAGTGGGCGTTGCGGAGGATAATGCGCTCCGAGAGAAGTGGTCGTTGCGGAGGATAATGCGCTCCGAGGGGAAGTGGTCGTTGCGGAGGACAATGCGCTCCTGAGGGGAAGTGGTCGTTGCGGAGGATTATGCGCTCCGAGGAGAAGTGTTCGTTGCGGAGGACAATGCGCTCCGAGGAGAAGGGGTCGTTGCGGAGGATAATGCGCTCCGAGCAGAAGTGTTCGTTGCGGAGGACAATGCGCTCCGAGGAGAAGTGGTCGTTGCGGAGGATAATGCGCTCCGAGGAGAAGGTTGGGGAGACAGAGAAAAATGCGGTCTGAGTAGGAAGGGGGAAGCCGGAGGACAATGCACTCCGAGAATGTATCTGAAGAAGACCAGCAAAGATTACCGGGTAGAGGAATCGTATGCTCTAACACGGTGATCAATGCATTCCAAAGAAATGGACGGTATATAGCAGGGATAGTGGGGTTATAGAGGAATCGTACGCTCTAAGAACCACAGCAATCAATGCTTACCAAAAGCCTTGGGGAGCGAATCAACCCTTGGCAGTCCAAGAATGGAATGGTCCTGATGGCTCTGTTGCGGCTGCTTTTATTGCCAAAAGTCAGCTGTTGGCTCCGGTCTCCGGTACTAACGCGTTGTTATGATCAGCTGCTAGTGTGGCCGTTTGGTTCGGAGGGCTGGGCACACTGTTGGCGCGTATATTTGAATTTTGTAGTGTGGCCGTGTGGTTCTGATCGCTGGTCACATTGTCGGCGCGAAGATTTAAATGTTGTAGTGTGGCCGTGTGGTTCTGATCGCTGGTCACATTTAAAAGTCAGGTTGTTTGTTGTTTTTGCTTGTTTTCTTTTTTAATTAAATCACAATATCGTTAAGTGACTTCTGCTGGACTTCTGTTGTAGGCAAGAAGCGTCAAATACGACTCTGAGTAAGCTTGGCTTGAGAACGAAATGGTGAGGAATGTAATAATGTGGTTCCTTAAGTTTGGCTTCGGTACTATTGACATGTGACCAAGACTTTCATATTCTTAGATAGACGCTTGAGCGAATCTCCGGTAAACGAGCAGGGCGTTCTCAATGGCATAAAATCGATTACGAGCTGTATCGACTGAATTTCCAAGACAGTTTGGGTCTTCTTGGAATGGCAAGCGCACGACAATTCGCCCACTGGCATCCTTCTGCGTTGTATCCCTATAGTGTTCCTCACAGCGACGATGAGTTGGGGACTTTTAGCTCTTGAATCGCCGATTAAGTCAACCTTCCATAACTGCTGTAAGTTTTGTCGATCGACTGTTCTAAGTCACCAAGCACAACGATGGCTGTATATTCTGCTGGCGTTGGTACCTCCCAGCAACAACCCAACCGAACAGGTCTCTGCAACGTGGGAAGTTGGGACCAATGCGAATCTGGCCAACGCAAGACTCCATAGAAGGCTTCGGTTCCCAATAACAAATCAATGCGCCTAGACCTAAAGAACGATTCACTGCCAGTGGAGTATTGGCAGGTAGGTTCCAATTTGATATGTCGATCTCACTATCTGGCTGGTAGGCAATGTGAGAGGTTATTCCGAACTGGAGAGTTAGCTGATAGCCAGATGTGCGCGACTTAATAGAAGTCGTCGTACGAGCCTTAAGGTTAGTAAGGGACTCTCCGATACTGCGGATTCCGATGTGGTGCTTTTCACGACGAAGGCGAAGTTTTTGAGCGAAGTTCTCGGTTACAAAATTAACCTGCGAACACGAATCAAGCAATGCTCTACCAAGTTTGTATTCACCTGAGACATCCTTGACCAATACCATCGCTGTCGCTAAC